CATAAAATCTTTTTAAAAAGTCATTAAAATTATTGTAAGGCAGACTCTGTGGTATACGATATGCTAAAGCTGTAAAAGCAGACCTCTCCATTGAATGCACTTTGTAAAAAATGTGGTATCTTCAGTGATAGGATGAAAGGAAGTCTGAGAGAGAAATGATTGCTGTTTTAAGGTGAAGGGATTCTGGGTTGTCTTTTATGTAAAGTTGTTTGAATATGAAAAGAGAGAGGCCGGATTGTTGTGAATCTGCCTGATGAAGAAGTGTGATTCATGATGGGACTCATTCACTCAGTAATTCATTCCACAGACACTGAATGCATGCTTTGTCAGGAGGAAAGAGCCGGAAACAATGCGGAGCCTCTCTGGATAAGCACTAAGCAGGCTCTGGGGACCTAAGCAGCTCTGAGGGAGCAAGAGGGGTGGGGAGTGCGATGAGTTCATTTCAAGGCTGTTGAATTTGAGTTATGTGTATTCCTCAAGAGGAGCTGGGTAGTGGATGGTAGGATCTAGGTCTGGGAGTTGAGCAGAAAGGTCGGGGCCAGCGCTAGCCATCAGGGAAGCCGGAGGTGTGTGGAGCTCACCCAGGGAGGAGGTGGACAGGTAGGGAGAAGACAGGTTACATAAAGCTGGTGAGAGGTCATTCTGCAAATCTCTCCATCTCTCTGAGCCAGGGCCAAGGGCACCAGGAGAGCCAAGGTGGCACCTGCTGCTGAGTGTGCAAAGGCCTCAGAGTCCAGGCAGAAACCCTTCCTCCCAGCACTTGGCCTCCAAGCCTCATGCGTTCATGGCCTGGGTCTGGTTTTAGTCCTTCCTCTAGGAAGGCCTTGGACCAAGGGGGGCTTCGACTGGCTTAAAAATATGTAGGGGTCCTTAAGTAAGAGGCTGGGGTAGAGGGTTTAAAAGATTAAAGATCAGGGGCACCTGGGTGGCTTGATTTCGTCTCAGGTCATGATCTTGGGGTCTCGAGATCAAGCCCTGTGTCGGGCTCCGTGCTGAGCATGGTGCCTGCTGGAGATTCTCTCTCCCTCTCCCTCTGCCCCTTGCCCCCCCTCTCAAATAAAAAAATAAATCTTTAAATTTTAAAAAAAGGAACAAAAAAGATTAATGATCAGCTAGGACTGGAAGGGGAGAGCAGGTGGGCCTGGCATCAGAAGCAGGGGTGTTCCCGTGCAGGTTGAGGGATGTGGGGGCCTCGGGAAGGGGAGGTTTCTGAGTAGGGGTTTCCCCCTAGCGAGCAGGTCTCTGATGTGCCCCCCCGCCCAGGTCCTGTGGGGCAAAACGGGTGGAATTGTTGCTCAAAACTTAGAGAAACGGGGTGGGGGTGGGGCGCCTGGGTGGCTCATTGGGTTAAGCGTCTGCCTTCAGCTCAGGTCGTGATCCCAGGGTCCTGGGATCAAGCCCCGGGTCCCTGCTCTGCGGGGAGCCTGCTTCTCCCTCTCCCTCTGCCGCTCTGCCTACTTGGCTCTCTCTCTCTGTCAAATAAATAAATAAAATCTTTAAAAAAAGAAGTGCTTTGTTACAAACAAACAAACAAAACAACAACGGAGAGAAAGGAGAGGGCTTATTCCCAGAGCATTGTGCCACCGAGGTGTTGCTGCCCACCTTCCTACGTCCCGCATGAAGTCTAAGACTTCGCTCACCATCCTTTCACACACAATTGGCAAAGGCGGCCTGGCGAGCAGATGCGTAAAAACTGGTTCTCCGTTTCCACTGCACGTAACCATTCCTCTCCCTTTGCGCGTCATGTCAGCACACAAAAGCATTTCATAACCCCTCTTGCTGGTGGTGATATATGGACAATAGATTGAGAAAGCGTTAGAGAGGCAGGGGTTCAAAAACAGTTGGGAAACGCTGGATTAAACAAACAAACAAAAAAACCCAAAAACCAAACCAAACAACAAAAAAAAACCCACGTCGCTTACCAGCAGCCTACGGCTCTTATCCCTCCCTCTTGTGCCACGTTTTATAACTGTTCGAAGGGTGTTCACGTGTTTGATTTCACCTGCGCCTCCCTTGAGCCTGTGAGGTAAGGAGGGCAGAGGCTGCGTGCATCTGGAAGGGGCAAAGGTAAACAACAGAGCTGGGACTAGAACCCAAATGTCCTTGTTATGGCATATGAGTGAACCGGGCCAGGTTAAGCTGTACCTTCCTTGAATGGGTTAAAAACAAACAGTGAGGAAACCCTGTGCAGGTGTCAGGGAGCTGTTTGGGTACGGAGACAATGGTAACAATACCGTCTTGCCCTAGAGTGTCTAACAGAGATGGGTGGCCAGGTGTCTTGTGCTAATGGGCAAAGCAGGAGGCCCAGAGTAAATGGGGGAGAACTGTGGAGCTCAGGGGATACAGAGAGGTGGATTTAGTTCCAAAAGGTTCCCCCCTTGCAGTGTGTTTCAAATGACAGGAGTGACCTGGGTGACCAGGGTGGCCTGGGGGCACTATGCTCAGGAGTGGCGGATGGAGAGCCCAGCTCAGGACTCTCGCCACCAACCTCTTGCGCTTGCGATGGGCTCATCCAGTGCCCTGCCCTGTCTTTCTCACAGGGACGTTGGGAGGAACCCGCGTGGAAGGGACAAACCACCGCAGAACGGCCCGAAAAGGCAGTGCTCAGCATTCATCTTTGAAAAAAAATCCATTTGGCCTCCACGGGAGCGCTACTGAGGGCAAAGATTTTGGCGACACTGATAGGTTTGCACCATCGACTTAGTAGCTGCGTGGCTGAGCCGTTTCTTCCTGAGCCCGCTTCCTGCTTCGCAAAATGAAGGTATCATCTCCTGCCTGACAGGTTGTTAGGACGAAATAAGCAGCGTTTGTGAAGGAAAGCCCTCGGTAAACTAAGAAGCCGTATTACTATCTGGTGAACTCACCTCCGGGCGTCCGCCAAACCCAGCTCGCTTTAGGGCCCGGAAAGGGCCGGCCGCGGTGGGAGTCGAGAAGGTGGTTCTTTTTTCAGGACGACTGTGCCTCGGAGGAAAATGGAGGAAGAAGGGCTTGCTCGCCCCCTCTGTCTTCCTATCCCCCAGCTGAGGGGGCAGGGGCGGGGGAGCTGGCATAACCTTTTTCTTTGGTGAGTCAGCCAAGAAGGCATTTCTAGAGCTCCAGTGATGTGTAAGTGGTGGTTTGGGTTGGGAGTTTTTTAAAGCGGCTCCCTCCCTTTTAAGCAGCTTTAAGACACACAACAAGCACACGCAACTGGGAAGCAAATGGGGGAAATGACAGAAGCCCAGCTGACTAGTATGAACTTGAGGAAATCAGCTTCCCCGGGGCCTGTTTTCTCTTATGTAAAGTGGGGACAATGCTACCTCCCTCGCAGGGTCATTGCATTCACGGTGTGTGGAAGTGCTGGGTTCGGCGCCCCGTACCTGTCCCTGTCCCTTTCCTTTCCCTTCCTCCTGGACAGACTGTAATCACTGAGCCTAGAGCGAAAGCACTTGCCCTTCAGCTGCTCCAGGCTCTTCTAATGGCCGCCACTATTGAACAACCCCCTGCTACACAGCTCATCCCTAGACAGGGAGGCAACAGGAGCAGTCCCGAGAAATTGTATCGCCCAAGATCACACCGCTTGCAATTTCTAAGAGCCGGGATCCCAACCCACCTCCTCTAGGTTACCTCTTAGGTATCAGAATGTGTGAGGGGGCTTCATCGAGCTGGGTCTTCTGGAAGGCCCATCTTTAAATAGACTCAGGCCAAGGGGGTAACCCCAACCTGGCCCATTTTGAGAAGGAACTCAGGGTGGAGTTTCGAGGGCAGGAAATAGGCCATCACTACAGGAAACCTGGCAGTGATTGGAAGAGAGCTAAAAATGAGTTTGCCTCCCAAATCCTTGGAGAAACTTAATCTGTGCTCTAGCAGTTTCAGGAGCTTACGTTGTGAGGGTGAGGGGAGTCCTTCATGAAACGGAATACAAATAGAGTACTGGTGGTCTTCTGTCCTCTCTCAGTAAACACGACCTCCTACTCATCGCCTGACAGCCCTCCGCTCATCACGCTGTAAACAAGAGGGACTCGAGTCTCCTGTTCGAACCTAAGCCAGACTGCAGAGGCTAGGATGGGAAGGCTGAGTCATCTTCCTCTTAAAAGAAAACCTAAGGGGCGCCTGGGTGGCTCAGCCGGTTGGGCGTCTGCCTTAGGCTCAGGTCATGATCTCGGGGTCCTTGGATCGAGCCCTGCAACGGGAGTCTGCTTGTCCCTCTCCCGCTGCCCCTCCCCCCTGCTTGTTTTCTCTCTCTCTCTCTCTCAAATAAAATCTTACAACAAAACCAAAAACCTAAGCGTGCCTAAGCCACATAGAACAAAAGCACGTTTTCTACACAGATCACGTTTCAACACATGGCTTTTTTAGGGTATCAACCCAAGAGCTGAGGACTTCTACAGCAGAAAGTAGGTACCCCTCCACATCATCCGAGCCGTCCTCCTCCCTCCACACCCAGCTGTCGGCATGGCTGCAAGCACCTTCTACTAAGCAGCAAAATGACTGCCGTGGCCCATCTCCCATGGCAGACTGTGCCGGGTATGGTGCGGCACAGGCAAGCCGGGCCAGGATGGTCTTCCGACAGCCCACTGGGGAGCTGGGCCACAGCCCGAGCTGCTCTTCACCCTAAGGGTTATGGCAAATAGCTCCGTGAAAGCCAAGGTCCCGGCCCCAGCTGCACGCACAAGGATGACTCTCACGGCACCTTATCTGTTTCCTTTTTCTCCTGGCCGAGGCAGACTAGGGAGAGAGGAGTGCTTTGGTTCATTCGTTTACAGCTCTAATTGCTGAAAACAGTGCTGTGTGGCAGGGAGAAGTCCTGGCTTTCGCACGCGCCCCTTGTAAGGCAGAGTGTCAGGCCATTGCACAGCTGCTCATTCCTAGGCCAGGAAGGAGGAAGCAAAGCTCCAGCTCCTCTGGGCAGCTCTGATGCTGGAAAATTCACTGCCCACATCAAAGGGTCCCCCCATAAGGTCGGGCGCCCAGAGCTGACCCCCTCCCCCTCAAAAAAAAGCAGCTGATACTCAAATTTCTGCACAGGCTCATGTAACAGAATGGACTTTTATTATTACTATCATTTTTTTTAAGAGAATTCATACAGCCACTGATTATACAGAGCCACTTCTCAGTACTCTTTTCTTTCCACTTAAGGAACTGGAATACACCACGAGGAGGAGGAGAATGCCAAAACAAGATTGCTGGCTCGTCACCTAGGGTTACAAATACACGCTTATTGTTTGACACTTTATTGAACTTTGCAAAGCGAGACTGAGCATCTTTGCCTTCGTTGTATGCAGCTGAAGCAGGAGCTCAGGGAGGGGAAGACGGCGCCGCTTTCCTTGGCAGGGGAGAGGTGACCCCTGTAGTCCTGTCTTGTGCGAGGACTAACCCATGTTCTGTCGGTTGCCATAGCCCCTAGGATGGGTGTCCTTCCAGTCATCCCACTCCCGAGCTCTGCGGAGTGTTTGCTCATCATCCTCAACCTCCTCCTTTTGTTCCTCATCTTCCTGTTGCTGAGCACTTCTTTTGAGCTCCGCTGCAGTGGAAAAATGAGAAAGCAGGGGTGAGGAACTGAGGGAATGTCAGGCGCCTGGGCTCCACTCTGCACACAATGAGAACAAGCAAGGCAGCCGGAGCCAGCAGAGTGGCCGAGAACACTGCCCTTACCTAACACAGGACCTGATGCTCCGAGTGATCTTCACAAGAAAACAAACACAAACAAGCTGAATTCGCAGAATGAATTCTATTTTGGGAAAGATGTCTTGCTAAAAAGGCCGAACACTGCCCCTTCCCCTCCCCGCGCCCCCGCCATCCACACACAACAAAAACACCAACTGCCCAACAGAACCCCAGCAAGCCAGAAAGACTCAAAAAATATTTATGATTTAATGATTTGTGGTATGTCAGGAAGGAAGGACTGCAGGCGACTTTCCCCCTCCATCCAGCTCCTTTATTACAGCTATACATTTCTGTGCGTGCGTGCGTGAGTGTGTGTGTGTGTGTGAGAGAGAGAGAGAGAGAGAGAGAGAGAGAGAGAGAGAGAGAGACTGTAAATCACCGAGAGAGAGAAAGAGAGGGAGAGAAACTGTAAATCACCGGGCAGTTGAACCTACTAGAAAAGAGTATCTGTGCTATTTGACACTTGTTTGGAACAGGTCTGAAGTCCAAATGGTGCTTGTTATGCAGTGTACACCCAAAAGAAATTAAACCAATTGCCACCTCCCTCTTTTGCATTCATTTTGTTTTCCTTTTGTGACGTAAAGGAGCATTTCCTGGCTACCCTGAGTTTGCCCATGAGAAAGAGACTGATTACTATGATAAAAAATGAAACAAATGGGGATCTCATCCTCTTCCAACAGCTTACAAGCTTTGTGGTTTTTGTTTTTTAACATTTTTTTATTGTAAAACAAAAGATACTGGAAACCACACACACACACACACGCAAATATACACGTATAATTTTAAGTTTTTATAAGGAAGCTAGACATTTGTAGTCTCCATCTGGGCCAAGAAATAGAGCTTCTGTACCTATCCCAAAGGCTTCTCCAGGAGCATCTTCCAAATGAGAACTGCTCCCCTTCTCCTCCCAAAACGTAACCACTATACCAACTTTTATAGTAGTAACTTCCTGAAGTTTATTATAGCTTTATGACCCAAGAGTGCATCCCTAGATGCCAGAGATGTCCGTTTGTACCTTTTTTTACTCAATGATTTTTAGTAGAGTTGTGAAACCATCACCAATGAAAAACAATTTCCATTACCCCCAAAAGCTCCCTTGTGCCCACGTACTGTTGATTCCCATTTCTTCCCTCCCCCTAGGCCCTGACTGCCAGCAAGCTACCTTCTGTCTCTTACAGACGTGCCTATTCTAGAAATTTCCTATTAATGGAATCAAACAATATATGGTCTTTGGCTCTGACTTCTTTCACCTAGCATAACGTTTTTAAGGTTAGTCTTGCTCATTTACAAATATTTTGATATCTTCTTTTTTTTAAGGATCTTATTTATTTGTCAGAGAGAGAGAGGGCACACAAGCAGGGGGAGCGGGAGAGGGAGAAGCAGACTCCCCGCTGAGCAGGGAGCCCGATGCGGGGCTCGATCCCAGGACCCTGGGATCATGACCTGAGCCAAAGGCAGACGCTTAACCCACTGAGCCACCCAGGCGCCCCATTTTGATATCATCTTAATCTACAGGCTCCCATCCCATCCCTTTCTTTCCTTACAAGTTATCTATCCAAGAAAACTGGAGCATTTGACCTGTTGAGTTTCCCCAAATCTGGATCTTGCTGACTGCATAGTCGTGCTGCAGTCCAACAGGGTCTTTTGTATTTCTGCCGACTGGCAAGTGGATACAGAGGCCTGATCTGACTCAGGGTTGATCCCTTCGGCATGACTCTAGCTGGGGCTGTGTTCCCTCATCAGGTGGCGCATAACATCTGTGTCTCATGTGTTGTGATGTTAGCAGCTGATGAGGCTTGATGCCTGGATTCACTGATTTTCTGGGGGTTTCAAAAAATTGATACTCTTAATTTTAACATTTCTTTTTTTATTAACTAGAATGCTTTTCCAAAGTGAGGCTTCCCCTCATCTACTACTATGTAGTTACCCAGGGGAAAAAAAAAAGACAAGGATCGACGCTTGATTCTTTCACTTTACCACTTGTCAAGGTGAACAATGGGTTCCTTATCCTCTGAAACGGAACAATTTTTGTTTTTAAATATAATTATGACTCATGGATTTGATGGGTTTTAACCAACTGCAATGATTTCTAAAAAATATGTTTAAAATACACCTTTAAATTTTAGAATAGTTTTAAATTTATAGAAGAATTGAGTAGTATGGAGTTCCTTTCTATCTGTACCCGGTTTCCCCTATTATTAGCATCTTATCCTACTTTTTCCCTGAGGTTTTACCTAATGTCCTTTTTGGTTCCAGGATCCCATCCAGAATGGGACATTCTGGTCCTCTGTCTCTTTAGTCTCCTCTTGGCTGTGACAATTTCTCAGATATTCCTGGTTTTCGAGGACCTGGGCAGTCTGGGTGAGTACTCAGCAGGTATTTTGCAGAATGTCCCTTGATTTAGGGCTGCCTGATGTTTTTCTCATAATTAGACCCGGGGTTATGGGTTTTGGAAGAGAGTACCATAAAGGTTGAAGTGCCCTTCTTATCACATCAAATTAAGGCTACACACCGTCAACATCACTTCTCACTGCTGATGTTAACCTAGATCATCCGACTAAGGCAATGTCTGTGAGGTTCCCAACTGTGAACTCCTCTCTCCCCCCACTTCCAAACTGTCATCTTTGGAAGCAAGTCACTAAACAGCCCACACTTAAGGAGGAGTTATGCTCCACATCCTTGAGACGGAAATATATACACAAATTACTTAGAATTTTTCTGTAGGGGAGCTTGGTCTCTTCTCCATTTATTTCTTTGATCATTTCTTTCTTTCACTATAGACCCATGGAGATTTATTTGATTTTTTGTATTGTAATCCAATACTGTTATTTTCCTGCTAGAATTCTTCCAGTTTGGGCCAGCAAGAGTTCTTTCAGCTGGCCTGTGTCCCCATTAACAGACTTTTTTTTTAGTGCTTGTTTTCTAGTACTAAAAGATGCTTTGGGCTCATCTGGTATATTCTCTGCCCCAGCCTAGAAGCAGCCATTTCCCTAAGGGACCCTGTTTTGTTTTGTTTAAGTTAGAGAATGGTATTAGAAACCCAGATGTGGGCTCTCGAAGCGCTCGTTGCTATTGACAATCACCCTTTTTGAAGCCAAACTGTCTCTGGCCAGTGGAAACATTTTCAAATTGGCTTCTGAGTCCTACTGTTATGACCCTAGTTATCTTTGAAAATTTCTTCCCTGTCTTTATAACAAGACGTTCCCAGCTCATCTTGTCTGTTTCCTGCCCCGGACTTGGAATTAGCTATTTCTCTAAGACATCCTGGTTTCTTCTAATGGGAATGGTATTTCAAGACCACAAGCTGTGTGTGTGTGTGTGTGTGTGTGTGTGTGTGTGTTTACTTTTCAATACAATTTCTCATGAGTTCCTATTCAGCACTACAGGTGTTTTATTTCTAACTTAAACTTTTTTCATCTGTATTTTTCCACACTAAAAGTCTTACTTCTCAAAGACAGAAGATGATAGAATTAGAATATCTCCTAACTGCTCACTTATATTATCTCACATTACACACAGTGTTGGAATAACACTAACATTTCCACCAATACAATTACTGAGAACAGTTCTTTTTTTCTTGCATATGCTTTCCCCAATTCTCCATTTTTAAAAATAGTTGTACTGTATCTACATTACCTGAGTACTGAGCAGATAAACAAAAGTTGGAGGGTGATCTAGTTTTCTTTCCTTTATAAATCATCTGCTGTTTTTGCTGAAATGTCTGAGACATTTTTTTTCTTCTTTAAAGTCTAGTAATTTTATGACAACGTGTCTTGTGGTTGGTCTCAGGTACATGGTATGCTTTATCAACGTAAATCTTTTTTTTTTTTTTAATTCCAGGAAAGTTTCCTTAACATTAGTTTTCAGCATTTATTCTTTTTCCCTGCTTTGGTTTTCTTCTGTAGATAATCCCATTATCCAAAAGTCAGCTCTTCTTTGCTATCTTTAATACTTGCCACTTTTTCTCCAGTTGTGTTTATCTTTATTGCTTTTTTATTTAAAACATTTTCCTTAGCCAGGCATTTTCTGTAATGTGTACCCATTCTTGTTTTCTTCTGGTTTAGCTTTCACTTCTGAAATAATTCTTGTATCTCCCAAGTTGTCACCACATTTCTGTGTTTTATGAATCCCGCTTTATATTGTTTGTCCCTGTCTTACACAGTTTTCCTAATGCCTGCCAATTAATTTTTAAACAGTATGTAGTTTTTAGCAGTAAACATATTAACTTCATCCAATTTTTAAAAACAGTATATATTGTATGGTGACTAACATAATAAAATAAAAAATAAAAACTATGTATTTTAGATTTGTTGTTTTTTGAGTGTGTCCTTCTGGAATGCTTTCGATTCTCCCTCCCCCGCCAACCCCTTCATAATGATTTTGTGTGGGGTGTGACCTTGATAATTTTGTGTTCAATTTTTCCACGGCATTATTGAGACATATTTCACATACCATAAAATCCACCCGTTTAAAGTGTACAGTTCAGCGGTTTTAGTATATTCAGAGCTGTGCAACGAGCACCACCATCTGTTGTTCATTCTTACGTGTAATAAGTTTTCCTGAACTTTTAGAAAGTATGGTTTGGGGCAGCTTTTCTAACTTCAGAGGCTCCCTTTCTGCTGTTTTTATGTCTGTTAAAGAAATATGATGACTTGCTTCACTGGAGTTCTTGGCTCTGGTCCTCTTGCCCACTTTTATCTGAACCTCCCCTTTCCTCCTTCTTTATGGTCCCTGTTCTACTCAATGTCAATTCTATCCTTAGCAATTTCTCTTCAGTGTGGGACCCTGCTCCTGGAAGCAAGATCTGGTGGGTCCTTTTCAAAAGTTCATTAAAGATTGGACCTCTCCGTCTCTTTC